TGGTGTTAGGGGGGAATGAGAAGATGTTGATCAAAGGCTACAGTCTACATTAGAAGATCGTTTTTAAGATGTATTATATAACATGGTGACAATACTTGATAATAATGTATTGTAGCTGGGCACTGGAAAACTCATGCCTCTAATTTTAGCTACTCAGGAGACAGAGACCAGGAGAATCGCAGTTCAAAGTCAGCCCCGGGTGAATAGTTCACTAGACCCTATTTCCAAAAAACCCATCAAAAAAAAGGGCTGACAAAGTGGCTCAAATGGTACAGCATCTGTCTAGCAAGTATGAAGCCTTGAGTTCAAACTCCAGTACTGCCCCTCCCCAAAGTATATTGTATATTTCAAAACTGCTAAAAGAATAGATTTATTTTGTGGTGCTGAGACTTGAACCCAGGGCCTCACACATGCCGAGTATGCTCAAGATAGATTTTAAATGTTCTCACTACAAAAAACAAAATATGTGAGGTAATGGATATGTTAATTAGCTTAATATAGTCATTTCACAATGTGTACACGTAACAAAACATTATATCATATCCTGTAAATATATATGATTGTTTTGACAATTAAAATATTTTAAATTTAAACAATATTTCTTGAGAATCTCCTTAAATGTTAATAATTTGACTGAATTTTTATTTTCATCCTGCCCTCATTTCTATTCACTTAATTCTCTCAGCTCTAAGTTCAAATTTATCTAGACTCTAACCATTCCTTACCAACTTTACCACTGCTTTTTCTTTTCTTTTTCTTTCTTTCTTTCTTTTTTTTTGGCAGTACTGGTGTTTGAACTCAAGGTTTTGTATTTGTTAGGCAGGCAACTCTAGAACCATGCCTCCAGCCCTTTTTGCTCTGGTTATTTTCGAGATAGTCTTGCTTTTTTGCCCAGGCCAGCCAGCACAGCAATCCTTCTATTTTAAGCTGGGATGAGAGTTATGTATCCCCACACTCAGCTTTTCTCTATTGAGATGAGGTCTTGGAAACTTTTTTGCCCAGGCTGGCCAGAACTGTGATACTCCTAATTTCAGCCTCCCAAGTAGCGAGGATTTCAGGCATAAAGCACTGTTGCCCAGCTCAACTCTACCATTTCTACTTTGGCTCAAGTCATCAATAACCTGGATTTTACTTATCTTATTAATTTATTTATATTTACTTTTGGTGTTTTTAAACAGTCTTGCTATGTAGCCCAGGCTGACCTAGAACTCCCAATCCTCCTGCCTCAGCCTCCAGAATGCTGGGATTATACTCCTTCACATTCACACCCAGCTCTCTACTCTGGGTTTTATTACAATAGCTTCTGAAACTATCAGAGTGCTGTTCAAAATACAACTTGTAGCCTAGAGACGTAGCTCAGTGGTAGAGAATTTGCCTAGTATGCACATGCCAGACAAGGCCTTGGGTTTGATCCCCAGGTACCATGGACAAATGAACAAAAAAAGAGCAATTTCTATCTCTCCTCTAATCAGAACTCTTTAATGGCTTCCTATCTCACTCAGACTAAATGCGAGTCTTTATTATAACTGACCTAATTAGGTCCCCTACAACTTCTCTGACATAAGCTCTTTCCATAATCTCCCTAAATTGTTTCCCAGCTGTACTGGTCTCCTTTCTGTAACAAGCCAGGCATATTCTGCTTTCGAGCCTTTGCAGGCTCACTGCTTAGAAAATTCTTTTCTCAAATGTCCACATGACTAACTGCTTCACTTCTCTTAGATCACAGTTTATATCTTATCAATGATGCCTATTGCCCTGTTTCTCCAGACCACGTATTATCCTCTACTTTACTACGTATTTACTGTCTGTCATTTCCACTGGGAAGTAAGTTCTGTAAGGGAGGAATTTTGTTTTGTTTATGGCTATATCCCCTGTACTGAACAATAAATACATACTTGTTGAATGAATATATAGATGGCATCTTCTCTATCGTTTTTCCTCCATACAAATAGTTACATAGTTAAACTTACCCAGTCAGCTTTTCCACTTACTATACCATTGCGATGATACATGAAAACTGAACCAGGCACAGTGGTGTACACCTGTAACTTGAGCATTCAGGAGGCTGAAGCAGGAGAATCCTGAGTTCCAGGCCAGCTTGAACTACATAGCAAATCCTATCTAGAAAAATGAAAAAGAAAGAAAAGCCTATCTTGAAAAAAAAAAAAACACAAAAAGGGGCTGATGGAGTGGCTCAAGGTGTAGGCCATGAGTTCAAACCCCAGTACTGAAGGAAAGAAAAAAAAAAAAAAAAAAAAGAAGAAAGAAATCCTGCCACCTCAGGATTTGAAAGGTAGTGATGGAGCTGGAATACCATATACAATCCTGCTGCTCCTTTGATAAATAATCTAGCTTAGGTATTGCCAATAATTTAGAGATTATCTAGTGATCCAAACCCCACAAGTTTTTCTTCCCAGAGTACCATCAATCATTAATTTTGTAGTCCTGATAACTCAAAACAAGAACCATTAGCACCTTCTTCTGTACCCCTGAAAAATATTTCTAACTTGCAACTTCTGTTCTATATGTTCAAAACTAGTGCTGAAAGCAAAAGTACTTTCTGAGCTGCCTGAATGATATATACTGGATTGTCTAAAGTAATGGATTATATGTTTTTGTACTCAACTATTTGTGAACAGTAGGTATGCCCTTCAAAAATTCATAATTACTTCCCCACTCTTCCTCACCTCAACCCACCTAGTCTGACAAACACATTGAACCAAAATAAAGGAATTGAGCAACGAAAATCTGGTAGATATATGAAATCATTCCAGGCTCAAACTTTAAATAATTTGCATAGTGAGGAGAACAGCTCAGATGCACTGTGACTCAGCAGTTTATGGTGCCTGAGATATGAAATAAGATAAAGATCTTTTCTCTTTTATGGCATTAGGCTAAATAATGGAGCCAAGATAAATGAGGTACCTCAGTCAGTGGCTGAAATGTCACAATGTGCACACTGACAGATTTAACTCAAGTCTGTGATGACAGGGGGAGGAAAAAGTGTATGTCAACTGAAACACAGAGCTGTTCTGAAATAACCTGTCCAATGCTGACTACAATTAGCACTCAGAAATGTATAAAATATTGGAAATGAAAGCAAAATTTAGAAATAGGAACTATGGTACCAGCTAAGTGTTAGAACTTAGAGCTAAGGAGGGAATTTATCCAGATACTGCGCAGTTCTTTTAAACAAAATGTAAATCCCATTTTACACTAAAGAAATAGCCTCGGAAAAGTTAAGAAACTTGTTAAATGTCACATAAAAAGACATGGCCAGGTTACCAATCTACACCACAACTTTATGCTGCCTCATTTGTGAAAAAGAAGTGGAGAAATAGTATTTCACAGCAGTGCATGGAGAAAGACCATCAGCATTTAAATGGTAATGGAATCCAAGCATTTGAATTATTGGGGTCTTTACTGCATTCAAACCCAGACACTGGCTACTTTTGAACACCAAATCTCGCCAAAGAAACCTACAGTCTATTAAGAATTCAGACTCACATTACAAGAACAGCATTCAAGCCAACGTCATACTGTCCACAAAAAGCAAAAACCAAGGGTAGTGGAAACTTCAATGAGATAGCAGTGTTTACCAGGTTGTAGAATCAAGGAAAACTTCACAGAGGAAGTAGCATTTCCACTGATGGAAGGAACAACCTAACTTCTCATCAGACTCCCAAGAGGTTTGAAGCTAAATTTCAAAATCCTTGGCATGGCAGTCAAGGCCCTTCACAACTAGGTCAGGGGGAATGTCAAGGAAGAAAGAGTATACCTAGTGACAAGCTTATGCTGAAGTCTTTGCTGCTAGCTCAGGTTTCAACATACCAGAAAGTGTTATTTTACTATCTGTAAACTGAGCATGGTTTGAAGACAAGCTGAACATCTTAGCACGTGGCAGATGCACAGCAAACATTTTCTGAGCTAAACTACTGATGTACACCGACGGGCACCAACCACCAGGTGACCCAGCACGCTGCCAGTGCCCTATGCCATCAAGACCTCTGGGGATTGGCTAATTTTAAAGTTCTCAAGTAAGAGACTTAAATACGTGATCCAAGCGGACCAGGCTGACCTTGGTTTGCATTTGGATGCGGCAAACCAACTGTAAAAGACCACGACTGGGAAAAATCAGAGCATGGAGTGGGAACTAGTTTAGGGAACTGTTAATACACACATCTATCTAGATACCTATATATATTTTAATGGGACTGGGATTTGAAGTAGTAATATCTTCGCAATTGCAAAGCTTGCACTCTATCACTTGAGCCACACACTTCCAGTCCACTTTGCTCTGGTTATTTTGGAGATGGGGTCTCCCGGCTGGCCTCAGCCTCCCAAGTAGCTAGTATTACAGGCGTGAGCCACTCGCGCCGTGCTGGGAATTGTTAACTTTTATTAAATGTGATGTCTGTAAAAGTCGTCTGTTAGAAAGACTTAAGATATTTATAAATGAGATGGTTTCCCTTAGAGCACTACAGCTATGGGGGAGGGGAGTTAAACAGGAAACAAACTGGTAAAAATGTACTGGCTATAGTCGAGGGGTGTAACACACCACATCGGGGAATGTTTGAGAATTCCCGTAATATAAGAACACACACACTCACACACCCCACGTGCTGCTTTTCATCCTAAGCCCCACGGGAACCAGACCCAGAGGGCAGGCGGCGCCTCGGCTTCTGCGAGCTTGGAGCCTCCTGCGGGAGCCCGACTCGAGGATAACCAAGGGTAGGGCGCCGGCCTCTTCACTCCGTCCACGCTCAAGGCGGTGCTAAACGCGCGACCCCGCTAAGTCCTGAAGAACGCGGGCCGAGTTCTTCCTCGTTTCCTCAGTGGGACCCGCCCTGGGGCTTAGAACCTAAGGAGAAGTGACCTCACCTGCTACTCTCCACCACCCAGAACCCAACCGCCGTCCCAGAACGCCCGGGGGAGGGCTCTCCGCGGCGGCGTCACGGCACGCCGTGCGCCGGGTCAAAGTTCAGCCCCGCCCCCGCTTCCCCCTCGCTGTCTCCCTCGGCCTGCGCCGCTGCCGACACCGCTTGTGGCCCCTGCTCTGCTCCGTCAGCTCCGCCGCTTTCCTCCCTGAGCGCTGCTCGGCAGGCCGCCATGGCGAACGTGGCCGACACGAAGCTGTACGATATCCTGGGCGTCCCTCCCGGCGCAAGCGAGAACGAGCTGAAGAAGGTATCCGGAGCTGGCAGGCTGGGCAGGGTGTGTGGGTCGCGGGGCCTGCGCGGCCGGGTCGGCCAGGCCGCGCTACGGGGCGGCCCGCGAGCCAATGCCGGCCACAGTGAGCCCGGTCTGGGGGGTGGCGGCGTTGGCGGGACCGGCCGCTTGGTGGGCCGCGCACTCCGGCCTCGGCTGACCTTGGGCCTTTTGGCCCGCCCGCAGATGCAGCAAATAAAACCCACTTCTGCGCAAACACGATGAAAACCCTTCCTTCCTCCCTCACCCGACAAGCGCCCGAGGTCGGGCGCTCCCGGGAGGCGGCAGCCGGTCCGGCCCTCCTCGCGCCGAGGTCACCACCCCGGAAAAACAGGTTGGACCGTGGTTCCCGGACCTCCCGGTCCCGGAGAGAGGCTGTCCGCGCCGTGGACTCAGGCGCCGGCTCCGGGGCGCCGCGGGAGGGTTGAGGCTGCTCCCGCCAGCTGCCTCCGGACGGCAGGGTCTGTTTCCTGGGAGCCGTGGTCGCCGGCCCCCGGAACTCCTCCCTCTTCCTCCCTCTCCATAGAGCCAGAGGAAGCGTGGGTCTGTGTTTGCATGCATTGTTCTGCGGGCAGGTGATCTAATTCCTGTGCTGGCTTCAGGAATACGCCGTGGGTCCCAGCCAAACACCTTAGCCGGCTAAAAATAAACGGTTTCATTGTCGTCCGAGCAGTGCTACAGAATCTTCCATCGCAGGATTTCAAAGCACTTGAGGCATTTAATTAAGCCCCTCGGGTCTTCCCGGCCCTAGGGGTATGCGACCCGGATTTCTAAAATGAGAAAAATGAGAACGCTCCTAAGTAGTGGGACCGGTAGAGTCGGGAGTAAAATGGACTTCCTGTTACCTTACCGGAAATGCTAGTCGGTGTTATATAATTCATGAGTCTGTGTGAATGAAGACTTAAATGCTGTATGTTCAAACCTCCTAATTGAAAGTGTGTGCAATCTCAATACCTAACATCGAGGTCACTGTATACCACCCCTGTTATTCCACAGAATGCAGGTAAAACACGTCACCACACCACCTAGGATTGTCCTGATACTACAGATAGAGGAAAATCAGAAGCCATCGTGGGCAGAGATTCTGCCCTTAGTTTATAGTAATGCTTGGGTGTCTGTAAAGCTAAACAAATCTTGAGTTCATTAGGTTACTGGTGTCTTCCTGGTCTCGTTACTGGCCAAGGACAATAGTAAAGAGTAGAATAATGTGTCAGTATTTTGTCTTTGTGTCATTGTTGTTTGTTTTTACTTCGTTATATTTTCAACTATTATAAGAGCTACTTTGTTAAAAGTACATGAGAAAGTAAATAGCAAGATGGAAAATGTCAAGCAATCCTGATATTTTTGGAAGGTTATGTATGACTTTAGAACATTCTCAGAAAAGTGGATATTACTGTAAACCTTTGATGTATATATAACCCTTCCTTTAAATTTTTTTTTTAAAGGCGTACAGAAAGTTAGCCAAGGAATACCATCCTGATAAGAATCCAAATGCTGGAGACAAAGTAAGTTATTTGAAACTTTTTGTATTCCTGAGATTTTGGTTTTAAACTTATATTACCCCTCCTTGAAAACAGGAAAATTATAGGGAAAAATCTACCTAACGCCCACAGAGCCATACTTTTATGTTAAGAATATTTCAGTTTTGTAATGGGAATCTGAGTACTCTGAGCAGTAATGCGTGGTAAATAGAACCAGAATTAAACCAAACGTAACTTGCATCTTTTATTGGAATTAAGTGATATCCGGGTTCTGTAGTTTTTCTCTATTCTAATATTTGAAAATCCAATTGTCATAACTTGTACTTTTTCTTTATAGTTTAAAGAAATAAGTTTTGCATATGAAGTATTATCAAATCCAGAGAAGCGGGAGTTATATGACAGATATGGAGAACAAGGTCTTCGGGAAGGTAGTGGTGGAAGTGGTGGCATGGATGATATTTTCTCTCACATTTTTGGTGGAGGATTGTTCGGCTTCATGGGCAATCAGAGTAGAAGTCGAAATGGCAGAAGAAGAGGAGAAGACATGATGCATCCACTGAAGTAAATACCGTGTTTTCTTTTTTTAAAAAAATTATTTTTTCCAATATAATACTCAGAATAACATTATTTAATATTCTGTCTTTCATCAGGAAATAAGAGTCTTGTTTTACTGTGTTCATTAGGTATCTATAAGTGAATTTGGTAATTGGATGTTTGTATTTTGCTTCAAATCTTAAAGAATGGTGATGTTTATGGAGTAGGAAGATGGTTTTTTTCATGTGCTGCTGAGGCTACTTGTTATTATGTAAGATTTCAAGTGTAAAGATTATTTTCTTTCCAGGTGCCAGTGGTTCACACCTGTGATTCTAGCTATTCAGGAGGCAGAGTTCAGGAGGATCATGATTCAGAGCCAGCCCTGGAGAAGACCCTATCTCAAAAAAGGACTGGTGGGAGTGGCTCACAGTGGAGGCTCTGAGTTCAAACCCAGTACCACCAAAAAAAAAAAAAAAAAAAAACCCACAACTTGTTTTCTTTGAAGTACTTAACTACTTCCAAGTTACTTTTTATTTCAAAACTTATAAAGTAACTGCCTAGTTTTTTTTACATGTTAAGGCCACTCATTACTTGATCCTCAGTGCAAACTTTCCTAAAATGGTTTTCATAGAGCTTACTGGTTCCAGCCTGTCATTAACCTGCCAGCATATGAATGATGTTGACCTTGATCTTAGACTGGGAATCTGCAAACCCTCTGCAACCTGAAAATAGCAATTTCACTTTGCAAAAGTTGTGAGGTCTTTTACCCTGTTAATTTTTTAATGAACTATACAGTTTTACTAGCAAATGCCAGAAACTGAAGTTCAAGTGTTTGTTTAAAATATTTCAGGGCTGAGGATGTGGCTCTTGCCTAGCATGTACAAGGCCTTGGGTTTAATCCCCAGCATCACAAAAAAAAAAAGTTTCTTTAAAAAAATTTTTTCTATTCAGTGTAGCATTTGAGCCAATTGGGGGGGGGGATTTATGTGTAATCGATTACCTTAGGTCTCATTCTTGTATTTGTGTGTATTTTAGAAGACTTTATTTTCAGAAATCATTTGGATGCCATTCCAAGAGTAATATTTGAGCAATGTTGTGTTTGTTCTTTCATATTTTTCTTTGATACAGAAATGGTCTAAAAAGTAAACAGACCCACCCAAACACCAAAAAAAAGGGTAAATAGACTTAAGATTGCTTAATGTACTCTGTGGTTCTATGTGGGTTTTTTTTTCATGTTGTTGTTTTGTGGTACTGGGGCTTGAACTTAGAGCCTACAACTTGAGCCACTCCACCAGCCCTTTTTTGTGATGGGGTTTTCAAGACAGGGTCTCGAACTGTTTGCAAGGGACTGGCTTTGAACATCGATCCTTCTGATCTCTGCCTCCTGAATAGTTAGGATTACACACATGAGCCACCAGAGCCCAGCTGTGGTTTTTTGTTTGTTTTTAATTTATACTGCGTGTTAAATGTGTTTCTTCTGCTATTTTATTCTAGCATTATTTAAATTATACAAACATTTCCTTTTGGGTGGCTTTATAGTACTCCATTTCATGATGTCTTTAATTTACCTTTTATATAGGGTTTTGGCTGTGTGTGTGTGTAAGTGTGTAAATAGTGTTGCGGTCTGTCTTTACAGCTTTGTTTCTATTTGGCAGAGATTCCCAGGCAAGCAGCAGTGTTTTGAGGCTGATAGAAAAAGCTAAATTTCCTGGTAGAGGGATTGTGTCAAATGAGGTCCCACTGGAGAGTGCCAGTTTTTTCAGACCATTACTCATAGTTTTCCTTCACTGGCCATATTTGTTTAAATTTTTTGGCTTGTAGAATAGTAGTTTTGCATACTATATGTAATTTGACATATGGGGGGGGAAAGACCTACATGGTCTTTTTGTTACGAGATTCTCACCAGGAGTATAAAAAGATGCATCAAAGTGATTTTTGTCTAAGGTTCGGATGGAGATACATCATTATTTGCAGGTGTTGTTGGTAATGTTTTGTCCATAAGTGTATTAGTTTTATACGAATTACAATATGTAAAGGTTTTAGCTTAAAAATAAGAATTTTGAGAAAAATTTGAATACTACAAAATTGTATAGGTGCCTTGTAAAATAACTATTTCTTGGCTGGTAGAGTGGCTCAAGGGGTAGAGCACCTGCCTAGCAAACATGAGGCCCTGTGTTCAAACCCCAGTGCTATCAAAAAAAATTAAGTAAAATAACTATTTCTTTGTTCTTTTAACTCCCATGATTTCATTCATGTATTGTTTTTGTTTTTTTCTTTTGGTACTAGGAATCAAACCCAGGGCCTATTATGCATGTTAAGCAAACACTTAAAACACTGAGCTACATTCCCAGTCCAACTCCCATGGTTTTAAAATTAAGCCTTCACTATTAAAAAGAGGTTTAGGTAGAGACTAGGGATATAACACAGTGGTACATAGGGCGTAGCATGCATGTGACTCTGGGTTCATCCTCAGCTGTGCAAAAATAAAGGAGATTTAAAAACGAGTAAAATTACTAAATGCACTGTTGGTAATACTTGGAGTTTTTTTGGGTGGGGGGATGGTCCTAGGGTTTGAACTGAGGGTTTCATGCTTGCTTGCTTAAGCAGGCTCTCTGATGCTTGAGCCATACCCCCAGTCTTTTTGTTTTTATTTTATTTTTGAAATAGGGTCTCCTTAACTTTACCTATGATTAGTCTTGAACTCATGATCCTCCTCCTGCCTCCCAAGTAGCTGGGAGTAGCTAGAATTATAGGCATGCACCACCACAAGTTGGTTTGTTGGATTTTGGTTGGTTTGTTTTCTTTTTGACACTGGTTTGGAAATTGGTTCTGTAATTAAAATATGCTATTATGAATAAAAGTGAGTTGAGTTTTATCAGTTACATGTTTTTATCTAGCACTTGATTGAGGTTTGATTGACATACAAAAAGCTGTACACATTTAGTGTATACAACTTGAGTTTGGATAATAGGCTTTTTATTCAGTATTTGGTCGCAGGTTCCTTTGTATATTGGTTATAATTTGGTGGACTCTGTAGAAACTAAAACTTGGAGGGTCTCTGTTGAAAACATGTTTTACATGTTCTTTCCTTCCTTCTGTCACAGTGTAGATGTGGTCACCCTTTTCTTGTTTTGGAGACATGCAATCTAAGTGCCTTCCTTAAGATATAATGTAACTTTGTAGCCTTTCTAATTGTTCAAGGAGAGAGCACAGCCTTGTAGTCTAGCTCCAACTCTGGAGGCAAATGCTTATGTGACTTTGATCTTTCACTGCCTCAATTTTATCATGTCAAATGGGGATAATTGTGATTAGGATTAGGTTTCAGTTAAGTGAAGGGTTTGTTTCCAAGGTCAAAAAAAGATGATGCTATGTAGTCATCAACTGTATCAAAAATTGTGCCACATAGGCTGGCGTAGTGGCTCAAATGGTAGCATGCCTGCCTAGCAAGCACAAGTACCACCAAAAAAAAAAATCTATGCCACAGCAAATTGTTACCAGGTGCTATACATTCTGTCTTTGACCTCATTTATGTTGTCCTTAGTCATAAAATTGTACTGCAAGTTTGAGCCACGGATGTGAAACTTCAGACAGTTGATTTAATGTGGACTCTTGAATTACTTGTTTTAAAGAGTTACAGTGGTATTTGCTGTATCCACTATTTATACTTTGTATTTAAGAAGTTTGGGAAAATTTGGTTGAACCTGATCCTTTCCTCTCCAGAGTATCTTTAGAAGATCTATACAATGGCAAGACAACCAAACTACAACTTAGCAAGAATGTACTCTGTAGTGCATGCAGTGGGTGAGTATGTGTTCTGGCTTATACAGTATATTTTTGTCTGCCCCTTGGTGTGCACTATTCCAGTTAAAAATTGTGACTTAAAACTTGCTACCCTATAGAACATTTTCTGAAAGCTCTAAAAGTCAGTTTAAATGTTAGTTATGTGGGGATTGAAAATGGAAAGTACAGTTCCATTTGTTGTGGCTTATTAGAATGATCTGTGGGCAAAATGTAATTTGTATTTTTGCTTGCTTTAGCCAAGGTGGAAAGTCTGGAGCTGTTCAGAAGTGTAGTGCTTGTCGGGGTCGAGGTGTACGCATCATGATCAGACAGCTGGCTCCAGGAATGGTACAACAGATGCAGTCTGTGTGCTCTGACTGTAATGGAGAAGGTATGTTAGTTTTGAGGGTTTTTTTTTGTTTTGTGTTTTGGGTTTTTTTGTGGGGGAGGGTGGGGAGGCTGGTGATGGTGGAGATTGAGCCCAGCCTGGCTCATGCTCAGCGTGCGCTGATCTACACTTCCATCCCTGGGTTAGGTTAGTCTTTAATTCCAAAAAAGATGAGCAGGCTGATTATTTATCCCTTTGTATTTTAAAAGACTGTATTTGCTAAGTAATGAGATGTTTAGCTATTCCTAAGTGGAGGATTTTTTTTAAGTGAAGGATTTTACTATAAACTTCGTTAGCTTTTGTTGATAGAGGATTAAAGGTGTTCACAGAAGTAACTATTTCAAGCTTTGTAAGCCAAGTAGTTTCTGTCAGAACTACTCACCTCTGTATAGCTACACAGAGTATATTACAAATGGGCATTGCTGTGCTCTAATAAGATTTTATTTATAAAAATAAGTATCTTTCCCAATTTGGCCTGTGGGATACCTCTTCTAGAACAGTACTGTTCGATAGGTTTGTTTTGGTGGTGCTGGGCCTCACACGTGCTAGACAAACACTTTACCACTGAGCTACAGCTCTAGCTCTGGTGGAATTTCTTTCTGTGGTGATAGAAATATTTTGTATCTGCAATGCCCTATTGTGTGACCACTAGTTATCTGTGCACCCCTCCCCCCAAAATACTTGAGTTTGAACTCAGGGCCTCATACTTGATAGGCAGACATTCTACCACTTGAGCCACTCCACCAGCCCTTTTTTTGGGTACTATGTAATACAGTACTATATAGGCCTACATATAATGAGCTCTCTTTGCAGGAGAGGTAATTAATGAGAAGGACCGCTGTAAAAAATGTGAAGGGAAGAAGGTGATTAAAGAAGTCAAGATTCTTGAAGTTCATGTAGACAAAGGCATGAAACATGGACAGAGAATTACATTCACTGGGGAAGCAGACCAAGCCCCAGGAGTGGAACCAGGAGATATTGTTCTTTTGCTACAGGAGAAAGAACATGAGGTAATTTCCTTTTTATTATTAAATTATTATTATTTTGCATTTGGTTTTATTCAGAATTTGGTCTTGCTTGTGAGAAATTGATCTATTTGGATATGCTAGAATAGCACTGAACATAGATGAAGTTGTTAAGGGAGCCTGACTGAATTAAGGTTCAGTTCAGTTGCTGATCACGACTTACACACAAGAACTAACTTGTGTAAGACCAACATGACAGGCGCAATCAGAAGCACTGTAGGAATTAGCTTTAGCCTTGCCTTGGCTATAGACTAGTACTTTACCCATAAATAATCCTATAATCTCTGCACCTTGGTTTCCTTTGTGAAAATAAGGACCTTGAGTCACATGTTCTCAGGCAGTTTATTCCACTGTGGACCTCCTTTGATGAATGATAACTAGACAGGGATAAGTCCTCAGTACTGCACTGTTGATTTTTTTTTTTATTGTATTACTGGGTAGCCGGGTGAGTTTTCCTTGAAAAGATTCTGGGATTTTAAAAGGTATTGATTTAAAAGTTTCTGATTGAATATGTATCATATCTGTTTCTTATGTGCAAGACAAAATGAACTTGGCAGCAGTGTGGTCTAGTGTATGCTGTTTTTATTATACACTGCATATGTTTACTTACACTTTTTTTTGTTTCTTTTTCTGAGACAGGGTTTCACTGTGCATCACTGGCCTCAATTAATTCTCCCGACTGCTGGGATTATAGCCATGAACCACTATGTCTGGCTCACCTATCATTTTTAATGTCTTACTGTAGGCCTTTATTCCTAAAGAGTATATCTGGAGCTATTTATATATAAAACACCCCTTTAGTAATAACCCAGGTCCCTGTGTGTGAAAGCATTTGACAGGGTTCTGGCCTTGTCCTGATCATATTTATTCAAGAGTTCCTCTGAAAATTTGCATTTACTTTTTGTTTGTGGTACTAGAGACTGACTGAACTCAGGGCCTCAAGTGCTCTACCACTTGAGCCAGCCTCCAGTTCTTTAGTTTTTTTATTGCTGCCTCCCAAGTAGTTGGGGTTTCACTGTGCTTAAAATGTTGTTAATGTTCTCTTCTCTTCCCTCCCCTCCTTTTTTGATGGTGTGGGTATCAAACTTTAGGCTGCTTGCTAGGCAGGTGCTCTATCACTTGAGCCATTTGTCCAGTCGTGGTGGTCATTTCTTCAAATAACTTTAATTTTAAAATTAAAAAAAGAAAATTTTAACCACTTTAAGAATCCAGTTGAGTCGGGCACTGGTGGCACATGCCTGTAATCCTAGCTACTCAGGAGGCAGAGATCAGGATTGCAGTTCCAAGCCAGCTGGGGCAAATAGCTTGAGAGATGGCAAATAGTCCAAGTGATCCTATCTTGAAAAAGCCCATCACAAAAGAAATAAAAGAGGCTGGTGGAGTGGCTCAAGGTGTAGGCCCTGAGTTCAAGCCCCAGTACCACCACTCCCCACCCCCCAAAAAAAAGAATTCACTAGAAACAACAAGGGCAATACTGAGAAGCAGAGTGTGGAAATTTGGTTATATTCCCTCACAAGGTTGTGACTTGCTTCCCTGGACTATCCGGGATATACTAGTCAGATGTCATGTTGCAGCAAAACTATAAGGTTACTATGCATTTTGTTTTTTTCTGGATTATTGCCAGATCTACAGATGGCAAGTCTCATAGATGGCTGGAAAATAGAATAGTTCCTAGAATTCTTATAGATTGAGTTATTTCTAGGGTCTTAATAGGTTGAATTTGTCACTCCTATAAGATTCTGTTTGGTAGCATTTTAGCTACTCCCTCTTTTATTCAGTCTTGCTTTTTTTGCACAATACCATACAAGGTGTGAGAGGCAGAAAGCTAGAAAGATAGCCAAGTAATTGAGATGTTTATAGTCACCTTTGGTGAAGATAATGGCACAGACATCACTAGGGTAATTTTTATTGGTAGAATCATTGGAGCAATTTGAGGTTAGTTACCAAATGTCCAGCAGTGCAGCAGCTTAAGGATAAATGAGGAAGTTAAGAAGGACACTTATTTGGAGGAGAGGAGAAGATATTTTTTCAGTTTAGGAAATGTCAAACTAATGGTGAAACTTTTTTTACCCTTAAGTTTTAGTCTTTAATATTGTTAAATAATTAAATTGGGATTTGAAGGCAAGGGACTTAAGTTCTTAACTTCCATTTGCTACCTTTGGCCTATGTGAGCTTTGCTTACCAAAGATATTGCCCCCTCAGGAGGATCATTATAAAATCACATGAAGTTATGAATAAGCTGCTTTCATGAAAGTTTGAGGTGTTTAGGAAGTAAATCACTTCTTAGAATGATGTTAGATGTTAGATGTTAGCCATGGAAATTGCATAGAAATGCCAACAGACAGCATGTATAGCCTAGGGTAGAAAGTAGATAGGAAGGTTAGAAAGGAAGTTTCTCTAGTTTCTTCTGATTTCATCATGGCCAGTAATTTAAGCTGAAGATGAGATTTAGGCATCTTAGTTAACTTATATTGCTGAAAATGTTCTGAGTCTTCTGAAGAAAACTAGAATAGTTTGAACTAGAACATAGAGCTATCTGTGTGTGTTCAAGAAAAACCTTATACTTTGTTTTTGGCTCCCCCAACACTTATGCTAAAGTTATTCAGGCTTTACTGAGACTAGGATGGATGCTGTGACTAAGACAGTATAAATATTCTGGTTGTTAAAAAAAAATTCAGTTTGGAGAAGACTATGCCATATGTATTCACTTGTACTACGTGTGTGTGTGTGTGTGTGTGTCTGTTTATCTCAGTAGTTTGGGTCTCATAATGCATTTGTATAGAACAGAACCACAGTATCTGATGATGTTAGGCCTTCTGTAATCTGTATTTTTACTTTTCAGAAGTTATTATGAGTTTTAAATGTTTTATTATGTGGTACTTGGTAGTTTCTCATTAATCTTCATTTTCAAAAATTCTCTGACAATAGGGGAAAAAATTGGGCATTTTTGCTTGTTTATGTCTTAAACTTTTAACATCAACTCGTCAAGTCCTCCTCTATCCTCACCAAACAGGAAAAACCCTGATATTTTTTATTGAAATCACTTTAAATTGAACTCTCCTATGCTACAATAGGGATCCCTTTCTTGTCCTTATATCTAATACAGCTTTAGCTAAAGACTATATGGCAAAAGGTCATTCTTGGAATATTTTTGGTATTTTCCAGTATATTAACATTTTAACAGCATTGAAAAGTTACTCTTGAAAGAAGCTTTACTGATCCCACTGTGAGGAATACTTGAGTAAGTGAGCATTGATAATATACATTCATTGATTCTCAAACTTCAGCATGACATTAGAATCCTCTAGAGAGCTTGTTAAAAACTTTAGTCTTATGGCTAGAGGTGGCTGGCACAAGTGGTGGAACACCTCCCTGGCAAGTGCAAAGCTGTGAGTTCAAACCTCAGTACCACCAAAAAACAAACAAACAAAAAAAACAGGGCTTAGGGGTGAGGCTAAAGTGGTAGGGTGCTTGCCTAGAAAGTACAAGGTCCTTGGTTCAAACCCAAACAAACAAAGCAAACAGAAAAAATTCAAAACTATAGTTTGCTGGTTAACAACGCCTCCATTGTTTCTGGCAGTTAAGTATAGAATGGGACCTGAGAATGTGTATTCCTAACACATTTCCTAGTGCTATTGAGGCTGTTAGTACAGACCACACTCAAGAGAATCACTGCTTAAGATGATAAGTTTATGTCATGATAAGTTTAGAATAATTTCAGAAAAGAGCTTTTCTTTCAGATTTTCTTTAATGAACCAGCCAAGATTCTTTTTGGTTTTGGTTTTTGGCAGTATGGGTTTGTTTGTTTGTCCCCCCGCTTTATTAAATTTTTTTGTGTATTACTAGAGTTTGAACTCAGGGCAGGCACTCTACCATTTGAGCTACACCTCCAGTCCATTTTGCCCTGGTTATTTTTTTGAGAGATGGGGGTTTCAAGAACTGTTTGCTCAGGCTCACCTTGAACCTCAGTCCCCAGATCTCAGCCTCCCTAAGTAGCTACGATTACAGGTGTGAGCCACCTGCACTAGTACTAGAGTTTGAACTCAGAGCTTCCTGCTTGCTAAGCAGGTGCTCTACCATCTGAGCCTAGAATAGGAGAAGTGGGAGATAACTGGCCCGTCAACTTCTCAATCCTTAAGGGTTAAAGAGAGAGTAAAAGAAATAAAGGCAAGAGATAGGAATATATATAGATTTTCCACTAATTTGTTTGCCACCTCTTTTTACTATGTGGTTCCAGTTGTCGCCATGGCAATTGTTAACTCATAAGCACTGGGGGGATGTTGTCGTTTAGCATGCAGTGGGATAATGAGGTTAGAGGTCTGTCTGCCTGTCTGGCATCCATCCACAGATTTACCTAGTCTATCTGATTAGGGACTTTTGGCTTTTAGGCCTCCTGTCCTCAGAGATGAGAAGAGGTGAGATAGAAATTCAGCTAGGTCACTTAGGCAGGACTCAGGTAACAGAGATACTTGTATTGAGAAAAGTGTAAGTGACCTTCCTCTGTAGTTAATTTTGTTTGAAAAGTTAAGTATAGATATTTGTGTGGGACTGAAGGTGTGTCTCAAGTGGGAAAGCACTTGTCTAGCAAGCACAAAGCCCTGAGTTCAAACCCCAGTGCCTCCAAAAAAGAAAATGTTTGTGTAGATGTTTGCTTATTCTTCAAAGTAAAAAGTACAAGTTGAGTATGTGAAATTGGATTTATTTTTTCTATTGAAAGCTCAGAACCATTCTTTGTGCTTATCCTTTGCATTACCTAATTCCCTGGCTTATAGTATGAGATTAAATAAACCAGCTTTTAGCATTTGCTATTTAGTTTACATTCATCTAAGTAAGTTTTGAACTTTAAGTGAGGTAGAACTTGTTTGTATATGTGTGAAGCATAGATTGAAGCCTTTGCTTTCACTGGCTGAGCCTTACTGACTATTTTGACATTGATCTTAGACCTTCTCCTTCCTTTGTAAGAATTATGTCAGGGGAATACTTTCTATGTACCTTTCTGCCCAGGGATAGAATTAGAAAGTAGACCATAATTTAAAGTAAACCTACTGCTGGCTTTTGGAGTCTCAGCTCTGTTCTTAGGCCAGTGTTTTCAAAATGCCAGGGCCTTCCTAATAGAAGTTTATAATGTACTACTTGGGAATAGCTAACTTTCCTAATATAAATCTAGGAAATTAGGAAAAGTAGCAGTTTGGTTTTTGCAGTTAATGTAGAATTAAGGTTTGTTTTTGTGGTACTGGAGGTTGAACTCGGGGCCTTGCAGGTGCTCTACCATTTGAGCCATTCTATCAGCCTGAGGTTTTGAAATTGATTGAAGGAATATACAACAAGGTATGGCTCCATGATTTTTTTAACATGTGCTTCCTGGTGTGCTTTGTTTATAGGTGTTCCAGAGAGATGGGAATGATTTGCACATGACATATAAGATAGGACTTGTTGAAGCTTTATGTGGCTTTCAGTTCACATTCAAGCACCTTGACGGGCGTCAAATTGTGGTAAAATACCCCCCTGGCAAAGTAATCGAACCAGGTAAATACTGATTTTATTTGATCCAGGTTTCCATGTACTGACAATTTGTAATTTTTTATATTCTTCTCAAATATTATTGAACACCTTTCTTGGGTTAATCTTACACCATTTCCTCTTTACTTAAATAATAGGCTGTGTTCGTGTAGTTAGAGGTGAAGGAATGCCTCAGTATCGTAATCCCTTTGAAAAAGGTGATCTTTACATAAAGTTTGATGTGCAGTTTCCTGAAAACAACTGGATCAACCCAGACAAACTTTCTGTAAGTGTTCTTTGAATTTAAGCAATGTTAACTTTTTGTTTTTGAGTCAGGGTCTCACTGAGTAACCCAGGTTGGCCTTCAGCTTAGCCTTCCAAGTGCTAAACAACTTGAACTTCCTTAATCATGTTACTTTGTCACCTTCAGTTTGGTTTTGGTACTAAGATTAGATCACAAAATTTAAAATTTAAATTCTTTTTGTTTGGTTGGAATTTTTGAGACAGGGTCTTGAATGCAACCTTTCTGCCTATACCTCCCAAGTGCTGGGATTACAGGCATGGGCCACCGTGAGCAAAATTTTACTTTGGGTGGGGGGAGGGGGAGTTATTTTTTGTTTGGTGGGACTGGGGTTTGAACTCAGGGTTTCACACTTGCAAAGCAGGTGCTCTGCTGTTCGAGCCATATCTCCAGTTCATTTTGCTCTGGTTATTTTGGAGAATGGGGTATTACTATTTGCCTGGGCTGACCTCAAACTGTGATCCTCCTGATTGCAGCCTCCTAAGTAGGTAGGATTACAATCTTGAGACATTGGCACCTGGCCTAAGTTATACTTTAATATTTGCATGATCGACAGGTTTTCCTGGTTGGTAGGAAAATGAGGGTTGCTGACATAAATGTTTATGGGGCTAAGCAAAGGAATTGTGAAAGAAGTAAAGCAGGCTGAGAATGTGGTGGTGGGAGTCCTAAAGAGTAGATCCTTTGTGAAGAGGGCAACCTACCCCTAGCCCAATACTCTGCGTCAGAGATGCAGGAAGGCATGTCTGCTGTGAAATTTTCCACTGTTTAAATGTTGGCAATTAATTCCATTTCTTTTGTTTTTAATTAATAAATGGATTGCACAAAATACATCTGCAGATTTGGCCTGTGGGTCATCAGTTTGTGGTCATTAAATTGCAAAGACCAGATCAGTCACTTTCCTGTTTTAACTCTCAAAAAAGCATATGCTTGAACTACATCAAAAGGGAAGTTGATGAAAATATTACAGCTAATCCCAGTTTTGTCTGATTTAATGAAGGAATTAGAAGATCTTCTGCCATCCAGACCAGAAGTTCCTAATGTAATTGGAGAAACAGAGGAGGTAGAGCTTCAAGAATTTGATAACACTCGAGGCTCAGGAGGTGGTCAGCGGCGGGAAGCCTATAATGATAGTTCTGATGAAGAAAGCAGCAGCCATCATGGACCTGGAGTCCAGTGTGCCCATCAGTAAACTGCAGACAAATTGCACAGGTGGATTTTCTTTCCACATTTGCCTGATTTGTTGTCAGCGATCCAGCTGTTGGAGTGTCAGATCAATTCAGATGAACTGATGGACATCTGTTGGTCTAAGTGTAACTTTTAAAATTGGTATAGTATCTACAGAGTGTATAATTTAAAACTAACCACAAAGCTTTACATCTTCATTTTGACTGTTCTGTAGCAGAATAAAGCACTTGAAAGGAAACAAGACTCCCTTTCACCCATGGGTTTTTAAGTTTCAGTCCTAGTATCTGTGCTTGATTTTTATCAGTTTTGTGTAGATTTTATGTTTCATGTTTTAAATTCAGATCCCACATTGTAAAGTTTGTACAATTTGTCCTGAACCTTTGTGTTTGGCTGCACCTGTATAAGCTGCTACAAATAGAATAAAGAATTTCATAGCCTGTGTCTATCATTTAGATGCATGGAAAAATGGGCTTTGCACATGATGGGTTTGGAGCTGACTGGGAACAATGGAAAAAATTACATTAGCAGTGGTTGTAAAGTTTTTTGTTTTTGGTTTTTTTTTTAAACCATCTTGTGAAAGGTTTCTGAAACTTGATAATAAAAAGCAGTTGGTGTAAATTAGTCTGTGTCACATTTCTAGAAGGAAGAACATTTTAAATTGTAAAATGTATCCTTAAGCAAGAATGTATCTTTAGTCCTGTTTTTAAACAGCCCTTAAAAACCCACTGACTTGAAGCTTATTCCTCAGCTCCTACCCATTTTGTAGTTCTAAAAAACAAAGGTTGGTTGGAATAGGTTTTACAGTTGATGTGTGGTAGAGTCAGGGACATCTGTTGTATAACACCTAAGTTAATTAGTTGGGCTAGCCCAGGCCTTTGCATCTTTCACCCCTCTTTTTTAAAATAAGGTAACAGCAAAAACAGTAATAGAACCATGTTTGCATAGAACCTATTAAAATGCTGTTTTAACATTAAATGTTAAGTTAAAGAATGCTCTGTCTCCATTCAGTTGAATATTTAAAATTGGAAGCATTGATTATTTGATTTTCTATAGTGTTTCATAGAATAGCATAACTCTTAGGTTGGCATTGGAAAAAAAAATCAGATAAAACTACTATGAAAGGATGTTGTATTCCTTATCTTTCCATCTTCCAATTACTACCTTATCACTCATGGAGTAGATGTTTTTAGAACATGATTACTTGAGGGAAGAGACACCAGATTTATCTTTTACAGGCGTAAAGGGACAAATGGGGAAAACAGAAACTAAGTTTTAAAATGTATTATGCCATCTAGGTCTGTTAACTTAAATGGAGAAAGATCTCCTGACATTAATCAAGGCCTGTGAGGTTTAAATTAACTGCCCTGTGCATTCTACCTCCATTGTACAAAAAATACTTTGCAACAAAGCCTGGGCAAGATTCAACATTATAGTAGTTTTATATTCAAGGTTACTTCTCCCACAACACTTCAAGCATAAGCAATGCAGTGGCAATATAAACTTTGTAGCCTTTCCAATAAAGGTTTATAAAACCGTTGTTCAATGAAGTCTTTCTTTCAGTTCTACCCAGTTTTTTTGACATTAGCAAAGAAAACTTTGGAAAAGGGGGAATCTGTTAAACCTATTACTTGACTCAGTCTACTTGTTCTACTTTGAACTAAAAAATACACATAGTATCACCACAGAATTTTCTGTAACAGCTTTAATAATTTAACAAAATTTAACTTTTTAAAAAAGTATACATTTCTGTGGCTTTTCATATATTCGATTTGTGAAACCAGTCACCACTAATTCCAGAACATTTCCATCACTCCAAAAAAATCCTGAATCCGTTAGTCATTCTCTCCCCAAGCCTTTGTGCAGTCACCAAACACTACTTCTATTTCTAAATGCTTACTATTTTGGGCATTTTATATAAGTGAATCACATACCCTTTTGTGAGTAGTTTTTTGAGTTTTATCCTTGTCTTTTATCAGTATTTCATTATTACCAAATACTCCACTGTGTTCATTTGTCATTTCGACATTTGTTTTTCATTCAAGGGGCTATTAGGAACAATGCTGCTATGGACACTGATGTGCAAGTTTTTGACAAATGTTTTCAATCTAGTTAAATACATTATATGATATACATTAAGCATAGGATTGGGTCATGCTATAGCCATTGAACCTATTGCAGAGCTGCCAGACTTGCAATTCTTAGCTGTATCATTTTACAATCCCACCAGCAATGGTGGCAGGTTCCAATTTTTCCATATCATTGCCAGCACTTTTTGACTTAGCCACCTTAGTGGGTCAGAAGAGGTTTTGATTTGTACTTTCTGATGACTAGTGAGTTTTAAGCACATTTCTGTGCTTAAATAAACATTTGTATATCTTTGAAGGAAGTTTTTGACCTAATGCTCTTTCTGTTGCATATATTTAGTCATACCTGTATAGAATCCTCCTGCCTGTCACATCCTGTAGCCTGAGATAGTTCTGACTCAAGTATTTTTGTAGAAAGTCCCTCTTCAAAATCTATCTGATGTACTCATGGATTCATGTAAAAGTTGTTTCTAACAGTAGTAGTCAAGTGAATGAATCAGTGTTATTTTAGTAAAACACTGCTTACACATAGTGCTGCATATAATGAACTTTGTAAATGTGCACACCTGAAAGTCTCTAACAGCACTTCTTGTACAAATGAGTCAGTTTGGTGTTATTTCAGTGTTCCAGAGAATCTTGGCCATCCATTGGCTTGCTTAGTTCCAGTATACAGCTGTTCTTGACTTATAATGGGGTTACATCTTAAACCCATCGGAAATGATTTAACTACCTAACCCACCTTACACAAGGTCAGAACACAAGATCATCTAACACATCTTGTGATAAGTTTTGAATATCTCATGTGATTTATTGAATACATTTATCCACAAAATGCTGGCCACTCAATGCTCGGTAGTGTGTCAACTGTTCACCCTCATGATCATTGCTGGCAGGAAGCTGTGGCTTACTGCTATGGGCCAGTATCATGAAGGTTTCATGTGACAGCTAGCCCAGGAAAAGGTCCAAATTCAAAACTAGTTTGCACTGAATGCACTTCACTTTTGCACCATTGTAAAGTCTCCCTAGGTTGGGCAGTTTTAAGTTGGGGACCATCTGAATGTCAGAATTATCCCATACCTACTTGGGCAGCAGATTTTTCAACCAGGGTACAGTGAGTGTTATGTAAAAAAGCTGCATGTTTTCTCTCATATGTGGAAGATAGATCCAAACATAAACATACACACAAAATAAGCATGATTATATACAAACTCAAATATAGAACATGTTTGTAATAGTGGAACTACTCTATGGAACTAAGGGAAAGTGGGAAAGGAAAAGAAAATGATAGAGCATCAGCAATATTGCATACTATAAGATGTGATGGTAGAGGATATAAAGGATATGTATTGAAAGCTGTTGAAAATGGGGTGGGAGGTAAAGGGGTAAGGAGAGTAATGGAAGGGGTTGAATAGACCAAAGTAAAGCACATCCACAGTGGGCATACACTGAGACACCCCTTTGAACATCATCTTAAATATTAATAATGAAAACCAGAACTGTAAAATAGATACAGTGTGTGTGTGGGGGGGGTATTAGTGGGAGAAGGGAGGGTGAAGGAAGGAGATTAAGGTGATGGTATATATCAGATGGACTTCGTATACCTATATGAAACAGAACTAAGAAACCTCTTGCAATTGCTTTATGTAGGATGGGGAGTGGGTTGAGGGGGAGAGACGATGGGGGCAATGTAAATAGTGTACAATATAAGTCTAATCGGAATTGTCACTATGAATCCCCCCACATAATGAATATATCCTAATAAAAATTTTATTTAAAAAAATTACTTCAGATGGGTGCTGGTGGCTCACACTTGTAATCCTAGCTACTAGGAGGCTGAGATTGGGAGGATCATGTTTCAAGGCAGCCTGGACAAATAGTTTGCAAGACTCCAAAATAACCAGAGCAAAATGGACTGAATGTGTGTCTCAAGAGGTAGAGCACCTGCTTTGCAAGTGTGAAGACTTGAGTTCAAACTCTAGTCCTACAAAAAATAAAAATAAATAAAAATTACTTTGGCCTCTAGAGAACTAGTCTCTGTTTTCAGCTTGATAATCCTTGGAATGGACTTACTGGTCCATCAAAAGACCAGGGGTATAACTCATCCAAGCATAAAGTAGGTACTTTTTTTGAGGGAGGAGAGAAAATTTTACAATTTTTTTTATGAATTTCATTTTGTCCTTTTCACCTGTGCAGCATCATTTAACAAGAGACTCTCCTTTCTCATTGCATTATGTTGGCATGCTTGTCAAAAATTACTTTGTCAAACTGGCCACTGGTGGCTCACACCTATAGTCCTAGCTACTCAGGAGCCAGAGATCAGGAGGATCAAGGTTCAAAGCCAGCCCGGGTAAATAATTCATGTGAGACCCTATCTCGAAAAACCCTTCACAAAAAAGGGCTGGTAGAGTGGCTCAAAGTGCAGTCCCTGAATTCAAACCGCAGTACCAAAAAAAAAAAATTACTTTGTCAATACAAATGTCAAAGTGTGTGTGCATGCACACACAAATGTTCATGTGGCCTATTTTATACCAAAGTAATAAATGAGTCTATTTCTAGACTCTATCCTGTTCCATTGTTTTCTCATCAATGCCAGTCTCTCTTGATTGCTGTACTTTTAGTGTAAGCATATGTACATTCAATGTTGACAGTGCTAAAATGCTATCACACCCTTACCAACAGTGTGTCTGTGTTGGTGTCCTCACTGCTGCCAGCATGGGGCATTGTCAATTTCATATATCATAGGACCATGCCTTGTTCACTGCTGTGTCCCTATCACTTAGCAGTGTGCCTGGCAAAAGGCTGCTCAGCAGTGTTTGCTAAATGCATAAGAGGCTATAGCATAGGTGAATGTTGCCAGCACTTACTAAGACACCCTTATGTTTAGTTTTCTGCCAATAAAATCTGAGATAATCAATTTACACACACACACACACACACAAAAAGGTTTATTTTGGCTCCCAGTTTTGGAGGTTTCTGTTCATGATCAATTGGCCCTATTGTTTTGGGGCCTCTGGTGAGGCAGCACGTTTTGATAAGAGCAGATGGCAGAGCAAAACCTAACACCTCATGGCCAGGAAGAAAAAGACAGTAAGGAGGGGTCTGGACTTCCATAATCTCCTTCAAGTTCATGTCCCCAGTGGTCTACCTACTTCCCACTACATTCTACTTCTTAAGGCTCCATCACCTCACAATAGCACCACCCTGAGGACCAAGCCTTTAACATATGGGGCTTTGGAGGACATTCAAGATCCAAACTATAGCACCTTACAAAGGGCATCTTATAAAGATGGGACAATAAACACTAGGCAAACATCTCTAAAAACCAAAAAGATTATGTCATTAGGACTAGGATATAATAATAAAAAGTAACAACTAAATCTTACACAGTGTTTCTGTGGGTAAGCTTGTGGTTCTGTTACCATGGTCATTCATTACAGCCACATTCCAAGAAGTAAGAGAATAGGAAAGGACAAGGGATTAAAAGGGATACAAGTTAGCCTTTTTTCAAGGAAAGTTCCCAGCATTTGCCACATAACA